ATAGTTATGAAGTAGCAAGGAAAACAATTTTATGGTTGGGTATCATAACACGAACTGTATTAAAGGGTTGTGGCATTAGGAAGGTTGAGAACCACTGGTCTAGGGTCATCCCAAATTAATGGACACTCCTACAAAAGTGATTAGTGAACCATACACAAAACCCAAGTCAAGAGGTGTCGGGGTGGAGAATATGTGTCCCAAATGAAGGAGACTATGCTTCACTCAGTGGATGACTAAAGTAGGGGCACATGCCATTGGGAAAAATATAGACCAATGGGAGAATAAGCTCAGTATCATGTCCCTAATTGGGCACTTGTGACTTCATTTGTACTTAGTCCTTGGTGACGCAGGACATGTACTACAAACAGGACTTTAAGACCCTGTCCTTTTGATGTGTACAACATCCTTCATAGACCACACCAGACCGAACTGATTTGCATCTCCCACTAAGTAAACTAGACTTTACCTTAAGAATACGAGTAGCAGAGTAAAGGAATTCAGTTAATACTCCCTAAGTAGTTTCTGAGTAAATTAATCAACCTAAGGCTGAAATGCCCTTGTGTACGCAGCAGCAGGTGACTTCTATCCCAAGGATATGAATGTGGAAGTCATTGGACTTTGGTTCAAAATTCTTGCCTTGACCCAGGTTGCCCAATAAGGCAACTCAAGGCTACCATATTTGTGCTATTGTCATAATCCATTTGCTTTTTTATGGCATGTATAGCTCCGCTCTGCCTTGTGAATGGGCATTATTGATAGTACTGCCCTATCTCCAACGCTCACTGTTAGCATCGTGTCCAGTCACTTAAACTGCTAAGCTTTACAAATCAATAATACACTGTCCTACACATGTATGCATTTTTAATTTTTCTCAAGTGTTTTAAATTCTATACATTAGCTAAATTAATGGTAGTATCACTAGAACTACTATATGCCCCATGAGGATAATTTATAGTATCCTTCAATAAATTAATGTCTATATCCTTCAATGAATTAATGTCTTTAAAGTGAACCTAAAAAATATATTAATCATAGGTCTAGCAATATATTTTGAGCATGCACTTAATCATAACCCTAATCTAAAAACATTTCTTATGGCATAGCTCTACTCGATACCTACCCCCATGAAGTGATCACTGAAGATAAAGGTGCTAAGCAAACTGTAGTGAAGAAAGCAGACAGTACCCGACTGTTAGAAAAAAATAGCATCTGGAGTCCTAAAGACATGTCTTAAAACATGCAGTCATCCAAGTGGGACATCAGCTAAGTCCACATGGAAGCAGCACACCAGCCTATGTAACCCCAAAATTCTAAGTAATAAAATCCAAACCCAGCAAATAGTAGTAGAGACTAAATTCTGAACACCTAGTTTGCAGAAGACTGAGAATGGCAATGAAAGCCCAAAACCCATTCACAGGATCCCCCTGATTTAATCCCCCTGTGGATTAAATCTCTGGCTCCTCTAACTATGGACCAGAGATGGGAAAGGCCTTGTTATCGATGAGAACAATTTAGGGTGGATTATACTGTAGTTGTAGTTTGGTCAAAATATGACACCTTGTCATTGATCTCCTTCTTGATCCAATGTAGCATTTGCTCCAGGTTTTAATATTTTCTGCTTTGTTTTTCATTGCTTCCTGCTGTTTTTTAATGAGTTTTTTTTGCCCCCCCCCCCCCTTCACGGTCATTGTTGTTGGGTCGTTTGTATTTTGTCTTGATTTTCTATGTTTTTCTCTATATGAAACCCAGGAAAAGTAAACCTACAGAGACAACAACTGGGTTAACAGAGTCACAGGGCACATGGTACAGGAGACTGGTGAGAATCATAGCTGTCAATGTAAAAGATTATCTTTGTAAAATTAAAATACTCAGTCAAGACACTAATAAAGCCAGTAAACACAGCTTCACTGATTTTGAGCATATTCCTCAAATGATATAAATAATAATATATTTGGTATCTTAAACCTAATACTTGAAAAAATATTCTAACTTACGAATAGGATAACAGAATTTTTTTCAGAATACCAATAACAGGCTTCATCAAATCAAACATTTCCCCAACACATACAATACAATGCTTTTTCTCTCACTGAAGTTTAAAAAAGAAAAAAAGTAAGGTTGTATTAGTGATGTATTACTGGGTACATGTATACACCATACTAAAACATGACAATTGCAGAAAGAAATACTGTAGAATTATAAGCATTCAAAGAAAATATCAGAAATCTAGAAGTTATTTCTCATAATGAAAGTTAGCAGTCTAACTTCTGTACATCTGACAAATGCCAAAAGTAATTTTCTTTGTTTCCTATTTTTATAATTTTCAAAGGAACAATTTTTGGAGGTAAATGAAATACAATACAAGCTATTCAACTCTGTCATCCAAAAAAAATGGTCTTTAACAACTACAGCAAATCAAACTGATTCAGAACAGCAAAGAACAAGGCACAGCAATTATTCTGTTAACTTTAGCAAAAGTCAAGGTTACAAAACATTATACATCTATATAGTTTAACTGCCTTGACACATGCAAGCACCGTTGTTTCCCAGCTAAGTTTCAGTCGAGACAGTAAAATTTTATAGAGCCAGGTACAAACTTCTGGCTAAGATCTATGTGAGATTTGTTTGGTTGGTTGTTTAACAGCAAAAAGTCTAAGAGTTTATGATTAATAAGTTACAAAAGTTGGCCGCTTTATAAATAATAGTTATAAAGAAGTATCTTCTTTGCAACTCTCTCATCTAAAATTATTTGAAAATAAAGTTGACACATGCTTTTTCAAAAATGTTCTCCACTCTGCCATCATTAAAAAATATTACTTAGGCCTTTTAATGACTCCACCATCTCAAAGGGCAAACATTACTTCCAAGCAGTCAAGATAAATCTCCTGTCTGATGGCACAATGAAATAAAAATATAAACACCTTAAGCAGAAGAGCATTATTATTGTTTCTCCCATATAATCCCCTTAAATGTATAGGCACTACACATTTATTAACAAAAACAATTCTACCACAAAAGCAAGATAAAAGAATGGTAGCAAATAAATTTTAATGTAAGGGAATTCAGAAAATAATTCTTAAGTCTTTTTTAAAAATTTAAGTTTGCAAACTAATAGAACGTAAACAACGATGAATAAATAACTTTTTAAGTACTCCAGTAATGGTACTTTAAGTCTTCTTTCAGCAGAAGAAATTTTCACCAAAACCGAGGACTTTTCATATTCACAGAAATCAATTAAAAAAAAAAGGACAGCAGGTAGGAAATCTTGTATTGCTAAAGGGCTGCAATTTTATAAGATATCTAATGAGATGAGATTATGTGCAAATTCTAGGTCCAGTATAACACTCTTGAAGATAACGGTATTTCCAACAAGAAGCTTATAAATTCAGTGTTTGTGCTGGACTAAACCAGAAAACTGCACATTACCGAAAACGATCAAAGTTTTTAACAATATAAAATATACCTATTGTACTGACATAGGCACCAGTCAAAACTTTGAACAATGCATACATGAAACAAAATTTTCAAAGCTTTAAAACATTTAGAATACAACAACAAAAACAATGTAAAACTATGCAATAACACAACACAATATATTTAATTCAGATATACCATTATCAAGCAATTCAAAAGACCTCAGTGAAAAAGTTGTAAAAGTAAAAGAATTCCTGTTAGCTAAAAGTGTTGAGGTCTTCCAGTAGATCAGACAAATTTAAGTGTACAGAGCACAACACCTATTTCAACTTTAATTACAAGGGGGCTCCAAAACGTTCATGGAAAAATTCTTTTAAATAATTTTTTCTACCAACTTTTTGAAGCTCCCTTGTAGTACTAGGTAAACTTTTAAAAATTAAGTAGAACACATGAAAATAAAATTAAAAAGACACTGAAAAAAGTTATAGAGCAAGAAAAATCTAGAGGCATTGGGAAAAAAACCCACTACCACAAAAACCTGTAAACTATTCTAGGGAACAGTAGAGAAAAGTTTTACTTACTCCTCTACATTAAGGTTGATTTTCCTTAATCTAATTTTAGTTTACAGAATAGCTACTGCCCATAGTTTAGAGAAAATTTTCTTTGCTTTATAAAAGAAAACCTACATGTTGTTCCATGGAAAAATGCCCTATTGGTAGAGTTCCAGAGCAATTTCTCATTAAAAAGCACTCACTCCTACAGTAAGTTACTAGTCCTAATCTTTTAGCTACTTATATATCCCAGACTACAGCTGTCCAATGGGAATAAAATGCAAGTGACATATATAATTTAAAATTTTCAAATAACCACTTCAAGATGGGCAAAAATACCTTGCTACTAAAAATACTCTAAATTTTATTTCAATACTGTATATATATATATTAATAGCTTACATTCTTCTTAATATTAAGTTTCAAAAATCCAATTTGCATTTTAGAGCACATCTCAATTTTAACTAACCACATGTCAAGTACTCAATATCTATATGTGGCTAGCTATTACTATCATGGACACCAGAGGTCTAGAGTTATTTGTTTGCAATTTGAGACACATTTCACAAAATACCTAAGGATTTGAAATGGGAGCAAACAATACATTAAATGTAAAAAACTGGGAAAGATACTGAGAATGTGTAAGTCACACAATTGATCCTCTCCCGTAACTTTAGACAGGTAATAAATGTCCAATTTGTGAGGTAACCGTATTTGCCAAGGAGAAAGCCAATTTATACTTATTGTCATAAGTATTAGCAGTGCCCCTTTAATTCTCAAAAGTACTGTACTTGGTGTAATAAATTACATGGCCATCCTATCTCTAACATTCTTGAAGATAATGCCACAGCCCTTGGAAGAAAACTCGCTTCAACTTTAATTATGATGCCTAGAGTAAAGCAGTCCTAAACGCTAAGGGAAAATCCTAGATACACTATCCTTGTCATCATTTAAAAATAAAAATAAAAAACTGCTGAAAATTCGCTTTATTTTAAATCGTAGACTAAAAAAAAAAAAAAAAAAAGTAAGAATTACCTGTTGAACAAGGCATCTGGACATTGGGATCATTGCTATCCAAAACAGGCAAACAGAACTGGTTACTTGCAGATCCTAGCATAGGATCCTTATCGCTGAGCATGTTCTTCAGCGAGTCCTCTAAGACATTTTGACTTGAACTAAAATCCTCACAGACTTCATTCTCCAGGTTGGATCCTAGAAATAGGGCATCATCTAAGTGTTCAGTAGGAATTAAATGATTAAATGTATCAACTATATCCATGAAGACTTCTGTGTGTCTTTCAGCCCTATAGAAAGACAAAAAAAATACCATAAGAAATAAAGCTATCAATTGAAAATCACCTAAAACCAAATTATTTTAATAATTTTGAGTCTAAGAACACACTTAAGGTATTTGAGTGGCTGTTAGAAAAAAAAATCCTCACTGTTTTTAGAAAACACATTTGGAAATGTAAAACAAATCTTTACTAAATGTTTCATCATGCATGTAGAATATTATTTTACCAAAGATGTTATTAAATGTTTACTTGGTTCATTTTTTTTTTAGGGAAAAAAATCTACATATATAGTCCATTAATTTAATACCTTTGAAAGAAAAATATGGTTTAAATCATAAAAAGCATGTTTTTAACCATAACCTTTTCATAAATTATGAATTAAGACAATGCTTTTACAAGTCCATATAAAAGAGCTAAAAATCAAAATCGTTTAAGATACTGTCTCATATCTTAAAACTGTTAAGTAGCCTCTTTTAGTTATAAAACATTTAAATTATTTTTTAAAAATACAAACAAAAAGTTTTCTTGTGCAGTTAAGGAAGGTAAATGGAAAGACACTCAACAAATCAGACTAACAACAAAACGGCACATGTACACATACAGGCGTGCACACAGGTTTGTAAAAATTAAGTTACCAGGGTTACTGAAATTCAAAACAGTTAATGTCCATTCACTACCAAAATTTTCTCAAAGAAACTGGCCTTGAATTCTTTCCCCTCAAAGTGTGGGTCAAAAGGAAGTTCAAAGATTACCATTTACTGAATATATAGTATTTGTTAGCACTGTGCTAATAATAAACATATTACTTAAATATATTATTTATAACCTGAAGAAGAAAAGGTACACTATCAAGTTTTCCAATTCAAAATGTCCCTACAGGGCAGAGAAAAACTGGCCCACAGGATTTCCAAGGCTGTACTATTTACAGAAGCAGACTACAACATCTTTTTCCCTCAGAGAAGCTGGTGGGTTCAAACAGTTGACATTTCATTTAGAACTTAATCACTGAACTACCAGGGTTCCTTTTATATCGTTTGTTGTTATTGTTATTGTTGGGTGCCATTGAGCTGGTTCCAACTCATAATGAACCTATGGTACAACAGAACAATGGACCGTCCAGTTCCGTGCCATCTTCCCAATTGTTATGTTTCAGCACATTGTTATAGCTACTGTTTCAATCTATCTTGTTCAGGGCCTTCTTTTGCAGCCCCTCCACTTTACCAAGCAAGATATCATTCTCCATGGACTGGTCTCTCCTGAAAACACATCCAAAGTACATGAGACAGTATCTCACCATCCTTGCCTCTAAGGAGCTTTCTGGTTGTACTTCTTTCAAGACAGATTCATTTGTTCTTTTGGCAGTCCACAATACTTTCTATATTAATCACCAACACCATAGTACAAATGCATCTATTTTTCTTCAGTCTTCTTTATTCAGTATCTGCCACGTTTATAAGGCCAATGAAAGCACGATAGCTTGGATAGACGCAACTAGTCTTTTAAAGAGGCCTTCTGCAGCAAATTAACCTAATGCAATGCGTTGTTTGTTATCTTGACTACTGCTTCCATGAGCCTTAATTGTGGATCCAAAGATGAAATCCTTGACAACTTCAATCTCTTATTCATTTATCATGAGTTGTGAGAATTTTTTTCTTTACAATGAGTTGTAATTCATATTGAGAGCAACAATCCTTGATCTTCATCAGCAAATGCTGATATCCTCCCCACTTTCTCAGCAAGCTAGGTGTTGTCATCTGCATATCACAGGTATTGTATCATTTAGTCTTCAACAATAAATTGGTTCTATTACTATTGCTTACAAAGAACACATTATATTTAAAAGTGTTTAAATGCTTTCTGCAAGGTCATGAGTGTATATATCTGCCAAAAAATCATTAAGCTATCCTTATTAACACAATTTATTATGCCTCAATTGATAAATTTAGAAGCAAGGATGGTGTGACTTCTCAGATACTTTGAATATGTTACCAAGAAAGACCAGTCCCTGGACCAAGGGCTGGTAAAAGATTGGGGAAAATAGAGGGTCAGTGAAAAAGAGGAAGACCCCTGATGAGACAGATTGGCAAAGCAGCTGTAACACAATGGGCTCAAACATAGCAATTCTGAGGGTGGCACAGGACCAAGGAGTGCTTCCTTCCGTTGAACATATGGTTACGAGTCAGAACCAACTAGGGAGCATCTAACAACAATTAAAATTTTTTAAGCATTTCTTCAGCCTCAGGAAAATTAATTCCCTTCTAAATAAATCTTAAGAGTTTCAGCACCTCTCCTCAAATTTGACAAATTACATTGAATACTAATAAACCTCGAAATAAAAATGTTCACTATTTTATTCACTTGTTATTTTGCATGCATTTCCTAATAGTAACATTAACAGCATTACTGATTAATTGCTCACAACTATCTGATCTTAGTACCTAAGGATCCAAAATCAAACCTTCTGTCAGGAAGATTTAGACTCATAGTGACCCTATAGGACAAAGTAGAACTGCTTCGTCGTGCGGTTTTCAAGACAGCAAATCATTACACACCAGCCTGATTTTTCTCTCAAGGTGCTGCAGAACAAGTTTGAACCACCTTGTTGTTAGCAGTCCATGCTTAACCCACTTTGCCACCTGAGCTCCTAAGGACTTAAAAGTTCAATTATATTTCACCAATTCTTTTAGCATACTGAATCTACTGAATGGCAACTTCTCTGTTTTATGCTGTTTTCCCCCCAATAACTTCACTAAAACTTTTTAGTTCCAAGATAATCAGTAAATTGTAGTTAATTAAGTAGCTCACCAATTAAAAAAAACTAGTTGTTTACAAATTAAAAACTACCAACAAATTAAGTCATCTTGTTGTGCTGGAATACAAAGTTTATTCCCAACCTAAATGATCTCAGATTCAGAGTTGCAGCCTACCTAATAAATAACCATGAAACCCACTGATATCAAAAGGACTATGACACACAGAGACACTTCTCCCTAGGGTTCTACAGTGGCTAGCAGATTAGGATGCACAGCTAACTAACTATGCAGGTCACTAGAATTCCTAAATACCAATTAGTAACCTCTTCCATAAAACGAAAAAAAAAATTCCATCGGAAGAAATTTTAACTTTTCGTACAAAAACGGTATGCTGAATCTAATTATTTCCCTAACAACACAAGGCTGGTAAATTCTACAAACTTCTTTAAACCAACTTCTCAAGGTGTGCATTCAAGTGATGGAAACATTGAGAACATTCAGAAGTTACATCACACAGATGGAGATCACAAAGTAGTAATGGATTCTGACTCATAAAGACCTTAAATGGAGTTTCAGACACTAAATCTTTAAAGGAACAGACAGCCTTAAATTTCTCCCATGGAGCAGCTGGTGGGTTTGATGAACAGCTGACCTTGCAATTAGTGGCTCAATGCTTCCCTGACATTGGCACCAGGGCTCACCCATTTCAAAAATTTACTGTAATGAGTGATACATTTGTTTTTTATTCCTTTCTCCAATACTATTAGTGAAAACAAAATGGGTGAACCAAATTTCCCCGAACTATTTATTCATGAAAACTGGTGTTAAGGGGTGACTTATTAGTGTTCCTTTAATTTAAATTAGTATTATCCCTTAATAGTCATGGAATAAGTAGAAGGACTAGGTATAACAAAATTACATTTCTTTAAAAATACTTTTATTTAGTCAACAAATGTAAGCTGCTAAGCTGCTACTATTGGTTCAAACACTTTTAGCAAGGCCAGTTAGACTGGGAATCTTCCAAGACAAGACAAAGCATAAAGCATCCCAAATTTATGGGTCCAAAGATGATTTCCAAAAGATGTATCACAAGACTAGGATTTTGTAACAGATAGTGTCAGAGAATATGTTATAAATTTATTAATAAGTGATTTTTTTCATACATAGTTCTTTTTTCCCCATTATTTAATTGGGGGCTCATATAACTCTTATCACAATCCATACATACATTCCATTGTGTCAAGAATATTTGAACATTTGTTGCCCATCATCATTCTCAAACATTTTCTTTCTACTTAAGCCCTTGGTATTAGCTCATTTCCCCCCTCCCTCCCTCATGAACCCTTGATATTTTTAAATTATTATTTTTTCTTGTCTTACACTGTCCGATGTCTCCCTTCACTCACTATTCTGTTGAAGTGGCTCAGGGGAAAATTCCAAAGGAAGAATGCCAAAAATGATAGTATACAGCTATCCAAGACTGTCATGAAAGAAACATTTATTGAAGGTACAGTGTATTTTTTTTAGGTTTCAGACTTCAAGTAGTCAAGGTCAAAAGTAAAATAATAAAAATTCTCCATCCAAAATAGGAAAACAAATGTTCCATCTATCAACTCACTTAAAATAAAAATTAATCTATTAATGCAGCAACATAGATATCCTGGATGGACTGTAAAGCATAAAACTGGCATTGGTGGAAAAAATATCAAATCAAAATTAAGTCACAGGTTTAGTTAAAAGAAATATACTAATGTTAATCTTAGTTTTGATGAAGAAATTGAAATTATGTCAGGTGTTAGCAATCAGGAATACTGGGTGAGGGGGTCATACAGGAGCTATTTGTACTCTATGCAACTTTTCTGTAAATCTACTTATTCCAAAATAAAAAAGGTTAAAAGGGGCAAAACAGAACACTAATTTTAAATAGACTGTTCTGTTATTACTAATAATATGGATGGACAAATATAATCAGATCTAGTTAAGGAGGGAAATTAAGGTATGATTCAATATATCCGTTAACTATACAGATGCCTAACTGTAACAAATTTCTGGTTCTTACACTGAAATTGTATTCAAATATGAAATAAATGTAATAATTGAAATATAATAAATCTCCCTATGGTTTATTTTAAATGGCTATTGATATGTGTAAATCCAAGTAAATCAATATCAATAATTTGGGAACACATATTAAAGTCATAAACTGTTGCTGAGTTTAGCATCTCATCTCATGTTCAGTCAGTAAAATGTTTCCAGCTAAATCAGAGAACTAGAGAATCTGCATA